TCTCTCCTCATCATAAGAAAGTCACATCACACACTGGTGGCGTTATGCCATCATATAGACTAAGAACATATCCATCATGAAAGTCAAAAACTTTGCAACTCATTCCATCGATAGAAACTCCTTTTTAAATCAGAGACCCAGGGGGGAGTGCGCGTCCCGAGCTTACCATCCTCCCTCAACCGTACACAGTCTGCGCTGAACACAAGTCCACAGGAGTGTAGATGCAGAAGAACATCTTAGTTTGTATTACATGCCATGTTTTGCACTGAGAAAGTTTCACTCTATACTCGCGAACGAGTATATGCAGATCTTTACATTGATAAATGGCGGGGATAGTGGCCCTTGACCTCTTACGTATCCATCACAACACAGTGTGTCCCCACATTCGAAGCATCGTCGATCAGCTCTCCAGTATCCGGGCGTGGATTGGGAGTCTGCTGATTGTAGTGATCCAAATGTCGATTAATACTTCAGTGTCGACTGATAATCGATGTTCGACTGTTGGTAACTCAATACCCCAAGGAGCTCAATGTGCTACAAGGTTACGGCGGGAAGGACGTGCTTATGATAGCACAAAGATACAGTACGCACTACATAGTATGTAGTACATACTGAATCTTTGTGAATCACAAATTGTGATTGCATCTTTGTATCGTGTATCTGCGTACCACCCATGTACAAGAAGACAATGGTTAGGATCTCGATTAACATAACAACGATATGATCTATACGAACTACAAACTACAGACCTATCGACACGATGATACACAATCCATCCTCCCGCAAGTTTATACTGGCACCCAACGACGTTGTTGGTTGTGCAGCACGTTGAGTCAACGTGCTGCACCGTGGAATGTAGATGGCCTGTGTCCGATATATGGCTCAAGTGCTATAACTCTATTGGTGTTTCCCAGTTCATACTGATCGTGTTTGCAATGTGGAAAATGATGCATGAGGGGGTGATCAATATGATATGATCACTGATGAGCGATTCAAACTTCCGGACTGAGGACGATTCTCTTACTTTTCGGGCAGCAGTCCTGGCTTGATCTTACCGTCAGTGATGTCGGAAAGGTTCGAGGAAGAAGCAGCGTGAGTCCGGGGGGCTGACTACGGGTGCGTGAAAAAGCTCGAGTTGCTCTCTGACTAGTAGACGCAAGAGTGGGTGTCATAGGAGTGAGTGAAGGACGCACTGATACTCGTGATGTTACGTTACACTACATCAAGCGAGATCGAAATGACTAATACCAACAATGTGCAACTGTGTGCGCTCCAACTTGATCGACTTTATCATAGCAGCTGGGATTGCGCACAAACAGAGTATTCAGAGATACTGCTTCCCATGTACCATCAGCAGTGCAAGATTCTTGCAGCAAGAAGAACCGACAACAAGATTGTAGAATAAGGAAACACAGAGTAAGAAAAAGAATGGTTCACTTCTCAGGGTGTTTCCGTTAGCCTCGACCAACATAGGGCTCACGCGTTATGCGTTAATGTGCAAGCGTGCAAGCTGAGTATCATCTCAGCATTTCCCTCCCATTCAAGTTCAGGAGTTTATAGGCCAAAATGCGCAGTCTCGTCGGTGCTATCCTCGTCCTCGTCGTTCACCCCATTCTCCAGGCTAAGCCGGAGGGGGGATATTGCGGTCACCGAATCTCTATGCTGGGCGTAGCCTACTTCGATATATTTGTGATGACGAAGGATCTCGCCATATGGGCTTCTTGGAATCGATCTTATGGTGGCGATCGATATGAGTATCGTTGGGGCTATACCAGTTTCGTGAACTACTCCTACGTTGAATCGACCCACACGTTAACAGTGCTTGACACGGCCGCGGTGGCAAGGCTCATAAGAAAGATAAGAATCGGCGTGCCGGTAGCAGCTCTCACTTATTACGCTTTTCATGGTGGAGTTCTCTTCATGACAGCTCTCTACAATCAGCCTCTGATCCTATGCTATCAGTGAGTGATCTGAGCACTTCTCGTGGCAGTTTCATTATCATCATTAACTCTGCTCTGGTCGACCTATTCCATCAACATCTTGGACTACGATAACTACTATTCATTTCGAGAGCGAACGCTCGCTGGGGTGGTACCATATATCCCCAATGATGCTTGCGTATCAGTCGCATGCAGCGGGAGCTCGAGCTGCTCGCCGAGGATTTTGATCCAGGTTGTCTTTCATTTTCTCAAAGGTTAATGCTATTTTTGTTGATTAGTTCCGACAAATGCTCCGTCACACGAGGAACCCGCAATGAACGGTTAACTGAAAGCAGGGTGGCTGAAAAATTTCATAGTGAATTACTTCCGGAGTGTTTCAGTGAAATATTCCACTATCAGCGAGATCTCCATTCGGGGAGGGAAGTTTCCGTCAAAAACTAGTGCTTGAGGACTCTCATTGAAAATCACGGCCCGTGATTCACGGGCCTATTTCACAAGAAACGCTCCTTAAGACGCACCTTGAGTTCAAGAGCAAGGAGCCTTAGTAAGGCTGCCTCACACCTTACGCGAGGTGCTTTCACTGCAGTTGCCCCCCCATGCCTCTTATGCTCCTAAATTTTAGGTTCACCTCGTGGAACCCAATAAGGAGCACGAGGAGCACCTAAACGATCACCGACGCGCATGGAAGAGTCGACGCAGTGTTTCAATATAGCCAAAAATAAGGTTATTGCCATTGAAATTCAATGATTGAATAGATCATCCGCGGGCGAGACGCGCGGGCTGGTGGGAAAAAGCGGAGCGAATCCGCCGTAGATGATAAGGCGGGTGCGATAAGGTGCCGTAAAGTACCTCCGGAGCAGTCCTACGGCACCTCACATAAGGGTCACAAAGAGGGGGTCAAAAATCCCTCCTATGAAATCGCCTTACATGAGGAGGCCCTGCAGGCGCCTTGTAGGGTAAGGAGCCTTACGGTGAGGAACCTTATGCCACCTTACCTTGCTCCTACTCCCCGAATCTTAAGGATGTGAAAGCGCCTTACACTGAAACCGTGAGGTACCTTGCATTTTTTGCTCCTTGTAAGGGCTTGTGAAAAAGGTCCCACGAGTGGAATTGGTCCTATTGACAGCGATATTGGGGAAAATCGAGAAGTGGGGAAACTGAGAGAAATCCCGGTTGTAATCGTAGTTTAGCTCCAGGAGTTACAGTAACTCCGTTACTGAAGTAACATGACTGCACTGAAGTAACTGAACGGTACACGACTGAAGTTACTCGGTTGCTTCAGTCGTGGCAACGAAATTGATCTTAGGACGCGAAATTGATCTATTAACAGTGTGTGAAATTCCCAATGACATGGAGGACGCGATGGACAGATGTAGCTGATTGGCCGATATAGACAGGGAAAAGTATGGCGCGTCGCCCACAGCAGATGCTGCTGAGAATAGCTGGTGAGATTCCTAGGTCACAGACTGTTCAGAACAGCCTATAACACAGGAGCAGCTCACGACGTCGTAGTGACAATCAGCTGCTAGACAGATCGAACCGCAGAGCGGTGGTTACTCTGGACAGACCCAGGGAGTGTGACTCGCCGCACTCCACTAGAATGACTCCAGTCAGCGGTCATCTATCAGGGCTGAGAAGCCTACCAACGAATACCATCTAAGCCTCTCTACGGACTCATCTTGAAATATCGGAGACGAATTCTAGCCCTGCTACCTCCATATCGAGGGATTAAGCTGGGAGATGCGCGAAAGATCAGCCAAGTCTAAATCACCAGACAACCAAGTTGGTTGAACCAACCCCATGGCATGATAATCAAGCTTTGGTCATCTGTATCGCCCGGGTATGTGCACTAGCTTGAAGCTAGTAGCTTCGGATGTGCGCAAGATGCTCCTCTGGCTTATCACAGGCTTATCGAACAATCACACATTCAACCTCTCCTTCGTCGTGTAGGAGTGGGAAATTTCTCTACCATTCGAATTTCACTCTCGTCGATCAGCCGTAGTTGATCCCTGCCAGGAAAGCAGGGTGGCTGAAGGCTGAGGAAGAATCATTCTTCCCTTCCCCAATAATTCCCGTTTTAGTTCCCGGGAATAATGACTGGTCAAAAAGGGGAATAATAGGCCTTATTTGGGGAATTATTGTACAAAATCGTCTTTTTCTCCAACATCACCCCAAAAGAAAGTCCGAAAGCATACATAGGCGTCTTAGGAAACCTTCTCGGCCGTAAGGCCGAAAAAAATACGAGCTTTCTCGCATCCTGTCACTTTTTTTGATATCGAACGTCACTGACGTTACGTCAGGGCGAGCGCGTGCGAGATGTTCGCAATTCGCAAGTTGCACAACGGGCCAGTAACTGGCCGCCAGTGACGTTGCGTTCATACCCCACTGGTCCCAGTACCTCATCGTGGTGTGGAGGTTACTGGATGGTGAATTCTAACAAGATCGAAACTGGGATCAAGCTGCCACCACTTACATGCTACCCCACCCAGGAAAAAATTCTCACCTCGGGTTCGTCACTGTCGTTACGACAGTGTCGTACTCTGCATTCTGCTCCAGGATTTCTGGATTTCTCTGAGAGCGCCGTTATGCTGGATGGCTTCGTCCGCACTGGGAGAAGCTTTATTAGTGCATTCACACACTGGGACCCGGGACAGCTGATAATATCAGCCAGGCTGGTTGTATGCCATAGTAATTTTTGGCAGTATTTGCTAGTGGCATTGTTGTGAGAGGACGATTGGCCTATGGCCCACAAAAAGATTTGAATCAGCTTGAATTGAATGGAATTGAATTGCGTTTATGGGAACAGAAGTCTAAGTTGTTGTGTTGTGTGTGTACTTTCGGATCACCCGGTTCTCTTATGAAGACACACCGCCAGTTCTTCACTGGCTCTCCGTCATCCTCGTAGCCTATGAGTCGTAGGCTACGACTCGTATGCAAGGTACTCCAATATGTGCTGGTTTGGGTCTAGGTTCTCAGGATTGCACCTTCGAGGCATGATGAGAGTCACAATAGCTGAGGCTGATCGAACAAAGATGATCAAATCATCGTGAGGTGATCAGGAACGAAGCCGGCATAAGAGAGTTCTACACATGAGCATTGCCATGAGCGCGCGCCCGATCGATCGACGTCGTCTTTCATACACAACAAGTGAGTCACGCCCATATTCGTGGTCTTTTGGAGTCCACTACTTAGAACAACAACCTCAGAATCCATCAAGAAACTACGGGTTCATCGTTGTTCGGTGTTTATTTTACATAATTCCCGAAAATGCAGTATTATTCCCCAAAATAATTCCTTAATTCCCTTCCC